GGAAGGACGACCGCCGACGGAAAACCGAAACCGGACGAGGGACCGACGGACGGCGGCCGCGACCAACGAACACGCGTCGACCGCCCCCCCCCCCCCCCCCCCCGGACCCCCGTAGCGTGTCTATCTGTCATTCACCCTGGGCTGCAGCCCAGCGGCGTCGATTTGTCGTCGAGCCCAAGCTCCTGACTCGCCTTGGCGCCCGACTCGTCACCTCGTCGTAGGCGATCCGATCTCACCACCCTCCTTTCGCCGCCACCGACTTCCTCTTGCGCCTTTCCCTCTTGATCCGCCCTGTTCCTTCTGTTTCCGACCCCATATCGCATCCGTGAATCGATCGAACAGTTTCTTACGAGATGCGTCGGCGAGCCCTGTCCGACTCTTTGACTACACGATGGCGCACGCTGGCAAAATTGTGCGCGGGGAGATCCTTGCGCCTCGAGACAGAGAGCTTGTTCCAAACGGTCTATGATACATGAATCGGCAGGAAGGCAGACAGAGCAAGAGGTCCTCGACTCCCCTTGCCTCGTCGCGGCAAGCGACGTCGAGGACAGAAAACAAGATCGACACAAGACAGGCTACTCGCTGTACGCCGCCACCGTCCCTCCGTCTGGCAGCCTCGTTCCCGGCAGGGCCGCTCGGCGTCTCAGTAGCCGACACCGCCGCCGCCCGAGTGCTTCAAGTTGCTGATCGAGGACTTGGCGATCGAGTCGAAGCGTGCGTAGTCGTCAGGCGAGCGCCGGTTCTGGCCGGGAAGCTCGACGTTGAAGTCCTGGCCAGGCACCGCGTCGTTCTTGGCGAGGTTGACGCCGAACCCGGACCCGAGCCGTTCGGCGAGCAGCTCCTGGGTCGGTCGCCGCAGCATCAGCGTCTTTGGCCGTGTTGGCGACGTTCTGGCCGAGTCCTGCCCCTTGCTGCGTTGATTGGGACGGGGAGATTCCTCAAACGGCGCCCCCAGACCGGCAGCGGCGAGCTCCTGCAGTGCGGCGTGCGCGTGCCGCAGGTCGAAGCCGTTGGCGCCGGCCATCGGCATCTCGGTGTGGGGACCACTCCCGTAGTCGACGGCCCGCTCGGCGCTTGGCGACGTCCCGAGTCCGAACGAGAGGGACCCACTGTTTGTCGCCGTCAGGTCGTAGGTCAGGTCGCCGTTGATCGTCGTAGAGTAAGTGGTGTCGCCCATCGTTGCGTCGGGATGCTGGGCATGATAGTAAGTTGGCGACACTTCCAGGCCGGGTGGATACCCGCCGAGCACGTGTGGCTGTGCCTCGAACGGCTCCTCGAGCATTTGCGGAAGAGCCGTCTGGCTCGACGCGTTGCGCGCGGGCGCCTCATACGGGCCCGGCGGATCCGGTGAGACGGGCACAGGCTCGCTGGCGCTGCGCACAGGAGCGATACCGCCCTTGAAACCTGCATCAACGGATGTGGCACCTTTTCCATGCCGAGGCTGGGCCTGGTCGGTCCGCCGGTAGATGGAACCAGGACGTCCGCCGTAGAAGCTCATCCTGCCTCCGAAGGCCGATCGCGCGAGGATCTTGGCAATCTGGGCGTGAGGCCGGCTGACAGGGGCCTCTCCCGCTGTCGAACCCCTTGAAGTGTCCGGCGCGCTTGCCTCCGAGTCCTGCGGGGTGTGGCGCTTGTATGGCAGGCTGCGCAGGCTCGATTGCCGCGACAGCGACTGCGACCCTCCGCCGCCCCCCAGACCCGATACGATCGAGCCCAGGCGTCCCCTCCGGTCGCGGATCGAGCCGCTCGACAGGGCTGGCCGGCGATTCTCCTCGACAAAGAACGAGGAGAGATCGTGGAGTTGATTGACGATCTCGCTGAGCTCCGGTCCCGTGGCGAGGTCCTCGACGCTGGGAGCGCCGCGCCCGAGCGAATCCTCCGGCAGCACGAAAGCCTGTGCATCCTGCCCGGCGCCGACGAGGTCATAGCCGTCCTCGACGACAAAGTTGACGTTCGAGCTCATCGGCGCGATATCGAGCGTGAGCTCGCACATCTTGAACACCGCCTGGATGTTGATGCGGGTGCGCGTCGTAAGGTCCTGGGGCAAGGCCACCGCCCACCCGCTGTCCTCGGGCGGGCCAAAGATGGACGCGTCGCTCACCTGCTCGCGCATGCGTCCCGGCTGGTTGCCCCACTGCAGGCTCATTCGAAGGATCTGGTTGGCGGCCGGACCGCCGTGGATCGAGATGGGCTCGTCGAGCACCTCGAGCGCCTCGGCAGAGAGCGGTGTCGACAGCAGCCGCAGCAGCGGCATGAGGAGCTCCGAGCCGAGGCTGCTGAATGCCGGGTCGTTGCGCGTGTCGACCACCTTGAAGAAGATCTTGAGCACCTGCATCGTCTGTCTGCGCAGCCACTCGGCCTGGTTGAGCGTGATGCCCAGCAGCAGCACCGCCATTTCGGCGCTCGCCGCCGGCATGTAGCGCGAACGGATGCAGTTGACTGCTTGCCGCACCAGGTCGTCCTTGGTGCGGAACCGCGTCTTGGCAATCGACGTGGCCACCCGCTGCAGATCCTTCATCTCGAGCCGCTCGGCGATCTGGGCCAGGTCGGCGGCGAGCTCGAGGATCATCTGCTTTTCGAGGATCGTCAGCGGCGAGATGGTCGGCGTCGCAGGGGCTCCTGAGCTGGCGCCAGCGCCGACGGCGCCCGACGCGGACCGGGCCGGCGAGATGCCAGCCTGCTTCCTCTGCTCCTGTTTGGCCGCCTGGGTCGCTCCTGACGTCTCCTCGAAGTGGTCGTCGGTGACCTGCAGGAACCACGGCAGGGCGGCCATGAAGAGGAAGCCCAGCCTCGAGGTGTCATCGTAGTCGATCAGGCTGGGATCCCGGCACTTGGCCAGCTTGGCGAGCAGCCTGAATGACGCCTTGGACGTCACCGAGGACCGGAGGCCGCGGAAGACGAGCGACTGGGCACCGCCCGCCTCGCCCTCCCAGCCTTCGGGGCACTTGATCTTGAGCATGGCCACGACCTCGCTGTCGCCGATGTCGAGCTTGTCCAGCAGACTGTCAAGCATCGAGATTGACTCGGAGAACTCGTGCTCGTTGACCGTCGACAAGCAGGCGAGCGTGGCCCACCAGCTCTGGGCCAGGAAGTCCTGCTGGATGACGTCGGACGTGCGGATAACGAGGTTGAGCGTGTAGAGGATCTCGAGCGCGAAGGCCTGGATGTCAGGACTGGGGTCAGAGATGGTGTCCGACAGCCGCCCGAGCATATCAGCCATCATGCTGGGCGTTACCTTGGGCCGGATGGCGCGGAAGGCCTGGAAGGAGCGGCAGGCCATGTGGCGCACGGGTCCGGAAATGGCCCAGAGGAGCGCGACGGCCCCCCACTCCTCTCTGAACTCGGGCAGGAAGGCCTCGACGATCGACAGGGTCGATGTCACCGTAGACAACAGGTTCTCCGGCATGCGGGAGCGCTCCACCTGCTCGTTCTCGCTGTCGTCGAGCGACCAGCGGGGCCGCGCCTTGTCCGAAAAGAGTGCCTCAACCTGGGATCGGCATGCGGGCACGCGCGCGGCTCCGCCGTCGGCGACCGGGAAGGTGGATACGACGCAGCGCAGCAGCAGCTCGAGTATCTGGCTCGCCTGCTGCTGGACAAAGGTCGAAAAGCTGTCGACGTGCATCATGGCGGCGTGGAGCAGCGCGGGAAGGTATACGGCCAGCTGCTCCTTGCGCTCATAGGCCATCTCGCCGACCAGGAATAGCGCAAGCTGACCGGGCGAAAAGGTCAGCTTGCGAGCTGGCTCGGGAAGGAGCCGGTCGAGCTCGACGCAGAAGAGCGCACCGGCACCGTACTCGTCCGTCGGCGTCGGCGGGCGATCGTCGCGCGGTACGGGAATCATGCGGCCGGGCTCGACGAGGGCGCACAGCTCGTCGAACAGGTGGCGACCCACCGCCGTGTGGGAGAGGCAGGAGACGACCCGCTTGGCGTGGACGACAAAGTCCGGGTTGCGGAAGTGCAGGCCCTGGTCGATGAGGAAGCGGACCACGGCGTCGACATTCTGCTTGCGGTCGGGATCGCCGGCGAGGCTGCTCCAGGCATCCTGCAGCTCGAAGCTGTGGGCCTCGCCGTACCGGACGGTGAGGAAGAGGAGGTTGGCCAGGTTCATGTATGTGCGGTAGGCGAGGTCCGGTCGCTGGACAGCGGTATCGGAACCGAGCGGGACAAGCTCCAGGCCCCGTAGCCACTCCGGTAACAGGCCCAGGGTGATGGCGCTCCGCGTCGCGTCGACGTCGGGCAGCCTCCGAGCAAACTCGGACAGCATGGCCGTCCTGAGGTCAGGGAAGAGCTCGGCCAGGTGCTCCGAAAGGTCGCGCTGCGCCCGCAGGTGGATGGCCGGCAGAGAGCTGGACGCGCCCACCTCGAACGCCTCGATCGACGCCGCCGCGTTGCTGCCGCTGGTCGCCACGTGCTGCAGCATGCGAAACGCCTTTCGCCGCACGCTGGAGTCGGCGTGGCTCAGCTTGATCAGTCCGAGGCAGAGCACCTTGTGAAGCGGCACGGCAAACACGTCCGCCTCGGCGACAACGGTGTCGGCGACGACGGCGAAGAACGATCTGCCCTCGCCCGACCGATCTGGCTCGGAGATGCACTTCTCGACGATGCTGTCGATCAGCGCTGCGTTGGCGCTGTTGTGCATCAGGAGCGAGCGCAGGGCGCGTCGGGCCACCTCGTGGTTCCTGCGGTTCGCTGCCGAGAAGAGGTGATTGAGCCACGAGAGCAGCGACGAGGCCTCGAGCGCCGAGCTGCTGGTGGGCGACGGGTGGGCATGGCCGACCACGGCGATGCTGCCCTGGCAGAAGGAGGCCATGGCACGGCCGGCATGGTAGGAGAGTGCCTGGGTCTCGTTGCGCAGCTGGATGACGGCCTGCTCCTTGGCCTTGTCGTCGCGGTGCTGGTCGGCGGCAGCGGCCAGCATGTTGGCCAGCTTGGCAGGCCCCTCTTCGCTCGTGTTGCTGTACGAGTGCCAGTCGCGAAAGGAGCGGAACATGCGGAGGCGGACGTCCGGTGGAAAGTACTTCTCGGCGTCGCCGAGCAGCGTGAGGGCATCGAAGAACTCCTCGGCGACGCCGCAGAAGGCGCGCCGCAGCACGTGGAACTCCCAGTCCTGGCGGATCTCGCGGTCGTTGAGGAAGCTGAACGTCTCGCGGATCCAGGTCTGGACCGTGTTGACGATCTTGGCGTCGCGGATGTTGCTGTCCTCGCGGAGGTGGTGCGAGTTGAGCTGCAGCACCTGAGCCAGCGCGGTGCGCAGGCGATCGAGGCGGCGGTTGCGCTTCAGCCCGCTGCGGGCGACCGAGCGCACCTTGAAGTCGTCGGTCAGCGTGCTGCTGACCGACTGCATCGTGTCGAGCAGCGTGCCGAAGAGGGCGTCGTTGATGTTGCCGAGCGCAGCGACGACGGCGTCGCGGAACCTGGCCTGGCTCGAGGCGAGGAAGGGCACCATCTTCTGGAAGAGGTCCTTGGCCGCGATGACGCGCTCGCCGGCCTCGGCATCGCTCGACTTGCGACGGTGGCTCCCGACGACGGCGCCGCGGGACCCCTCCGTCGAGGTCGTCGTCGTACAAAGCGCGAGGATGTAGCACCGCCAGTGCTCTGCCATGAGCGCCTGGTCGTGACCCACATCGTGGTCCGTAGCCAGGGCGCCGGCCGATGTCGGGCCTGCCAATGCCGAGGAGTTTGACGACGACGATGCCAGCATCGTGGACGCCGTCATGTGCGCCAGCGACGACTGTGACTTTCCCAAAGTGTGGCCGCTGACGGTGCCGACCTGGGGCCGGGAGACGATGTTGGCGGCCACCAGGATGACGTGGTCCATGCCCAGAGTTCTCCGGGTGATGTAGGAGCGGAAGACGGCGATCGTCGTCGGGAAGCGATCGAGGCACATCCTCAGCAGCGTGGGGAAGGCCCTCTGCCAGAGGTGCTGATCGGCTGCCTTGTCGCTCTGCGCGAGGGCTTTGAGCGATTCGCCCAACGGCGCAGGCTTCCACGAGGCGGGTTGCGGGCCTGGCGATGGCGCCGAGCCGCGAGAGTTGGCCTCATCGTCGACAAATAGGCGGTGCGAGAGGTCGAGGAGATCGACGACGCGACTGGGCTCCTCGTCTGCGTCCTCGCCGGCGGCCCGTGCAGCCTCGAGAGCGGCTCGCCGTGAAGGCGAGAGAAAGGCGTGGTCGAGGACCGAGACCAGCCGCAAAACCTCGACCGCATGCTTGCGCAGCGACCGCGCCGCCGAGCAGAGCAAGAAGAGGCCGTACGCCTCGACCTCGTCGATGATGGCCCACGCGCTCGTCTTTTCCATCTCGAGGCCCTTGGCCCCCGGAGCGCCCGAGGCTGCTGCCGAGTTCTGCGCCTCGAGCTCGGCCAGCCAGATGTTGAGGAAGTCGATCCAGAGCCTGATCGCGTGCTCGACCTTGGGCAGCAGCAGGGACTGCTTCGGGTGGATCTCCCAGAAGCCAGACTCTTGCCGGAAGATCCAGCGCATAAAGCCAGAGACGACGGCAGTCGATCCGCCGCGGCGCTGACGGGCGATCCGGCGCAACGCCGAGGCCGAGGCTTCGGCCAGCTCCGGCTCGGCGCTCCAGTGGGCGCGGAAGAGGATGCCCAGGATGCTCGAAAAGGCGATGTTGGAGCTGAGGCAGCGCGGCCACGAAGCAAAGCAGGCCTTGAGCAGGTCGCAGTGGGACTGGTGCTCGCGCGGATAGGCGGCCGTGAGCTTGGCCGCCGGATGGGTCTTGCAGATGAAGCCGTCGCGCTCCAGCACAGCACGGTCCGCCGACGCCGCCAGGCTGCTCCCACCCGAGCTACGGAAGATCGCGATCCGCTCATCAAAGACCGTCATGTCGCTCACTTGGTGGTCGCAGATGAGGGCGATTTTGCCGATCAGGTCGTTGAAGGTGGACTGGGTCTCGGCCAGCTCCGGCCGCGGGAAGGAGAAGCCTTCAGGCAGCTCGTCGCCGCAGCCCTCGGGCAGAGTATCGAACTGGTAGCGCGAAAAGTCGGCGCCGTCCGGGAACGCCGGGCTTTCCTCGCGGACGTAGCTGTGGAGCGTGAGAAGCACGGCGCGTATGGCCACCGTCATGCGCCGGCCCGATAGGATATCTGGCTGGAGCGACAGCGTCGAGCCGCCGAGCTCCGAATGGCAGAGGAAGCCGAGGACCAGCTCCTTGCCAAAGTCAAAGTGGCGGTGGAGCACGAGGTGGACCATGGCGATCAGCGGCTCGAGCGAGCAGTCTGACGGGTTGACGGCCTTGCGGTTCGGCGGGAACCAGATCTTGAAGAAGGCCTCCAGCCGCTTGGTGGTGGTAGAGCTGCTCTCGTGGCAGCGGAAGAGGTAGACCCACAGCAGCCGGAGGGCGGCGTTGAGGACAGTGGTCCGGTTGACGCGATCCTTGAGCTTGGCGGCGCCCATCTCGATGCACGTGTACCAGCTCGCCAAGAACTTTTCTGCCGGCGAGACGGCCAGCAGCGCCACCGTCAGCGGGTAGGCGGCGGACCAGTAGCGGGGCTTGGCCGTCATCGAGAGCGCCCGCGGCCAGATGTTATCGACGCCCTTGATCCAGGTGGGATGGTTGATCTCGGCCGTGGCCGAACGCGCCACCGGAAGCAGCAGGCGCACAAACGACTCGGCGTACGCCGTCTTGATCCGCGTGCCGTGGGCATTGGCAAAGTGTCGCGAGAGGATCTCGACAAACTCTGCGCCTTCCTCGAAGAGCTCCATCGGATAGACCTGCAGTCAAAGGAGGCGGAGACGGCAGGGGTGGCGGATGCAGACGGCGCACGGCGTCAGTCACGCCCAGAACGAGACCGACAGTGGCCGGCGAGTCCGCTACCTCGCTCCACTCACAGTGATGTTGAGGTGGCCCATGCTCTGGATCGCGGCCACGAGCATTTCCTCCACGTTCTTGCCCGCTGGCGCCTCCTTCGAAGACTCGAGGATCGAGACGAAGTGCTCGCTTATCGGCAGGAACCTGGGCGAAGGCGCCATGACGGTGGACGACAGCGTCGGAAGCACGTCAGCAGCCGATCGCAACGGCGATGCAGCCGGGCATGACGGCCCCACTCACCTTACTCTGGAGATCTCTCCAATCAGCATCGAGACCTTTTCAAAGCAGCAGTGGCGCATTGTTGAGATCGAGCGCGGCAGCATCCTCTCGCGATCGCTCTCTCGCGAGCAGCGGAGGAGCATGTTGAAGACGCAGTCCTCCCAGCACCCGGCCTGGGCCTCGTTGAGCGCGTTGCGACCGACATCGCGGGCAATGGCGATCATTGATTTGGACAGCAGGTAGAGGATGGCGAGCTCCTTCTTACGCGTGAGCAGTGCCGCGACGTCCTTGATGCTCGTATCGGCGGCCTGCAGCTGCCGCGACTCGGCCAGGTGGCGGCGCACCGCGGATGCGTCGACCTGGCTCTCGACATTGAGCTGCTTCCAATTGATCAGGCTCTCGATCACGGGCCACGGATTCCGTCGCGCGACGTGCGACAGCGAGCCGTACAGCGACTCGAGGCTCTCGTCGACCTGCGGGCCGAGCGCGCTCATACGCTCCGGATCGGCGTCGCCATGGAAGTCGAGCGCCGCCTGGATCTTCAGGCCAGTCAGGGTAATGAACCGGCTCATCAGGATGTTGAGCGCGTACTCAGATGGCGCCATCGGGTCGTCTGAGCCGATGCCCCGAGGCAGATACCCGAGGCCCTCGGCGCCCAGACTGCCCACGAGCGGGCTGCCGCCGAGCGGGTGCGCGCGTGCAGCCCTCATCGAGGAAGCGCCGCCGTAAGCGGCGGATTCTCCTGCCGAAGGACCCCTCGGCTCGGGATGAGGATGTCCGAAGTCCACACTGGAGGCCTCGTCGCCCTCGTCCGGGCCCATCCATCGCCTGTCGTCGCGCAGACTGGCCGAGGCTCCCTTGTACGGGCTACCCGTCTCCGAGTGCTCAAGAGACGTGTTGCTCGCCATCGCCCGGGCGTCGAGGAAGCCCGGATCGATGGGCTCCGTGCCTGGCGTGCTGGGAGCCGCGCCGTAGTTGTATCCCGCAAACGGCAGCGGCGGCATCGGCGGGAGCTCCACGCCAGCCTGCGTGAAGGGCTGCATCAGGCTGCTGGCCGAGCTGCTGGCTGCGCCGTGGCTGTGGTGAGAGTCCGAGTAGTAGGAGCTCTGCTGCGCATGATAGTAGCGCGAGGCACGCGCGGCATTCCCGCCAGTGGCGCTGAAGCTGCCGGCCCCACCGCTGACGTGCGTTCGCGAGTGGCCGGAGAGCTGGCTCTCACGCCTGGCGTGGTTCGCAGACGACGTCGAGGGCGACTGCTCTGAAAAGGCCTGGCCGAACGGATAGGCGCCGGCGGTCGAGCCCGCCGTGCCGGGCTTGGGCGTTGGGTAGGCGGTGCGCCTCCCCGCCGTACTCTCGCCGGCATCCGAGGCGGGTGCGTAGGATCTCGCCGGATCCTTTGGCGTCCGCGGCCAGGCGTCAGCCGCGTCTCTGTCCCTGCCGAGGCCGCTGTTGCCCTGGCTCTGGCCCTTGATCGCCGCCTTGAGAGAGGCGAAGGAGGTCTTCTTGACGGGAAAGGAGAAGCCGGTATTCTGCTGTTGCGAGGGTGAGGGGGCAAAGTAGCCGCCCGGACTCCCTTCGTAGCGGTGCTGCGATGGTGTGCCAGCATTGCCGCCCGTGGGGAACTGGAAGGAGGCGCCGCCCGCCGACGAGTCGCTCGTGGCGCTGCCGGACCTACCATGCCAGCCGAGGGCCGCTCCGCGAAACGGGCCGGCAGCAGTCCCGGCCCGTGTCGGTATGAATAGGTTGCCGGGCGTCCTGGAGCCCGCTCCTGATCCGGGTGCCGATGCTGGATCAAAGCCCCTGGGCGTGTTTCGGGCATCGGATACGGTGGCATAGGGAGAGCTGTTCTCCTCGAGCGACGTCTTGCCGCTGTCGATGGCCGAAGAGCCGCTGGCCGAGGCTGCAGGCGAATGGATGCGAGGGGGCGGGGCAAAGAGCTCGTCATCGTCGAGGTCCGGGATAATGACCTCCATCTCGCCGCTCAGTCAGAGGATCGCGGTGTCGGGCACGATTGGAATGAGTGGATAGGTGAGCGTCAAGCAGGTTGCCAAGGGCGGAATAGGACCCGGCGGGAAGGGTGCCGGAAATGTAGAGTGGAGTGCAGCAGGAGGAGCTGCTCGGGGCCGGGAAGGCTTCGTAACGGGTTCGTTAGGGTTGGGGTAGAGGGGCGCTGACAGCGAGAGGTGCTGTCCTGGCGTGGCGAGCTGCTCTAGTTTGTCGGGGCCATGGTGAGGGATGAGGCGGATGCAGCAGGGTTCTTGGATAGATCCAGGCAGCGGAAGAAGCGGCCAAGGGGTATTGGGCAAGGTTGCTGGACGGCTGATGCGTGGAAACGACGACTGGATGCGACGGGGCGACGGGCAAGGACTTGGGGCAAGGGCGAGGCCACCGGGGCGCTGTGCGTGGGCTGTCGGGCGTGCTCGGAGCAGATGGAGCAGTAGGGTCGGAAGAAGCAATGGATCGTGTCGTGGCGTGTCCTGGCGGCGGCGATGGCGATGGCGATGGCGATGGCGATGGCGATGGCGATGGCGATGGCGATGGCGATGGCGATGGCGATGGCGATGGCGATGGCGATGGCGATGGCGACGGCGACGGCGGTGATGGATGATGGGCAGAGGGTATAGAGAGACAGAGAAGCGCCGTGGCTCGCGGCCAGCCTCACCGGCGGCCAGTCGGCCAGCTCGCAGGGCTCCTCGTCCGCTCGGCCTACTCTGTTTGCCGTCCGAGTTCCGAAGAGGGGCCCTGGGTGGCCTCGCCTGGTGGCCCGGCCCCTTTGGGGCTCAGTCTGGCTGGCGCCGCCAGCACCGCGTGCCGGTCAGGCCCACCTCATTCGGCTGAGCTGGATGTCTCGACCATCGGATGCCTCCTTGGGCACCTCCGCTGCTCGACGTCGGCGCTGGGCCGCACCGCCAGCACATACGGGTAAAGAGATAAAGGCAGAGAGACAGAGGCAGAAGCAGCAGCAGCAGCCGCCGCCAAGCCGCCAGCGTTTGCCCGCCCACGCCCGCGTGTGGAGGCAGCCACAGGGCAAAGGAGAGGCTGCCGACCCGCCTTGCTTTGGATGGCCCCGACGGCCTCTTTGCGGGAAAAAAGGGAAAAAAAGGCCTGGCAACCCGGGCCACGCAAAAGGCGAGGCAGGCAGCTCCCCAGACCCAGGCCGGGGCCAGGCTGCCTCTCTTGTCCATCATCGCCACCACCACCATCTCCGCCTCTTCTCGTCATCCTCTTCCGGCCTCCATCCGTCGCACGCCCTCACAGACCCCGACCCCATTCCCGCCACCTCTCTCCGCGTCAGCGACCCGACCTACCGCCCTCGCTCCTCTCCACTCTCAACCAGCAGAGCATCAGCGCGTCCGCCGGGCCAGCCTCGGTGTCCGACTCCCCCGCGCTTCCGCCCTCACCCTCGCTCTCGCTCTCGCTCTCCGCATCGCAGCACCAGTCCCATCCCGGAGCTCGACCCCGCACCACTGCGCTCGGAGCCTGCTCGCACGTCCATCCCACCCACCACCCATCCAATCCGCCGTTCCCTTCGTTTTCTCTCCCGCGCAACGCGTCCCTTCGGCTTCCCTCGGTCCGTGCTTTGACGTCCCTTGCTGCGCGTGGCTTTGCAGGAGCCGCGCTCGACCGTTGCCGCCCTAGACCGCCATGTCGAGGAGAGGAGGAGCACGAGCTGGACACTCGATCGCTGGCACCGCGCTCCGCAATGCCGGCCTCATGTCGGATGGCGACGTCGGGATGCGCGATGCTGCCGGCCCAAGTCGGTCCAGGAGCGGAGGCCGGGCAGGAAGAGCCTCGGGCACCAGCTCTCCACTCGTAAGTTCTTCCCCGCCCACACGCCCGCCATTCCAGCAGCGGCAAGTCGCAATCCTCTCCCCAGTGGGCGACTCCTTCCCACTGCTGGTTCAATCCGGCGCAGAGACGAAGCGGCGTCGCCGCCGCCGTCTTGTCTCTGCCAGCTGCAAGCGCACAGCCGCATCCATGCCACTCGATCCGTCGCACGCATCCAGTCTGACCCTTCAACCCGTCCATCTGATCTCACCACTCGCAAACCGCCGCAGTATGCCACGCAGAGCGATGGTCAGGGCACGTCTGGCCGGCAGGGCAAGGGCGCGGCTCGGCAGCGCGCCAACCCTCTCGGGAGCCGGCCCAACGCCAAAAAGGGCAACCTCAATGTCAATGATGGCCTCAGGCCAGGGAACACTGCCGCCATCCTTGGCAGCGTCCCCAACTCCAAGGCCAAGGGCGGAGGCCGCATTCCTGGCGGCGGAGGCCTGCCCTTCGTCGGCGGCGATAGTGGTCCCAAGTCCCACAACGTTGTCTCGGTGGTCAAGCGCTTCCTCGAGTCGCGGTGGAACGCCGCAGCCAAGTTCCTCAACCTCGAAGTGAGTGCCATGTTGGGCGGGTTCCCGGCTAGCTTCTTCGGGCCTCCCTACGGATCGCGAGGAGCGGGTACTGATCTCCATTATCGCCTGCCGCTCCCTCCTCCTGCGATGCTGCTGAACCGCCGCAGAACATGAAGGCCGATCCGATCCTGGCCGCCGAGAACATCAAGCCACCCGGCGTGCCTGGCTGCCCCAGGGAGCTCTCCAATGTCATGTGGAAGATCTGCTCCGAAGTGTACCCCGACGTGAGTCCTTCCGCTGCCGCTCGAGCCGGGTCATCGTCGCCTTCACGTGCCGATCGCTCACTCGGCCAAATTGGCATCCGCGCATCGCTCCCTGTCTGCCGCTCTCCTCCAGGTCATCACCGTCTCCCTCGCCCACAACGACTTGTCCAACCTCGGCTCGGTCCACACGATGCCGGGCTTCCTCCCCAAGCTGCAGGTGAGCATCCGTCCATGCCCGGACCTATTCGGCTGGCGTCTCGGCTCCCAAGACTACTCAGCTGTTTGAGCTTTCGCGGCTGATATGACGCTGTCGCCCCTTGTATTGCTCCTTATCGTCAGAACCTTTCGCTCGAGGGAAATGAGCTGCGGTGGGCCAAAGATCTCGACACGCTGGCAAGCGGCAAGCGCGGCCGCTTCGAGGCGCTCAAAGAGCTCCTGCTCTCTGGCAACCCGGTCCACTCCAACGCCGTCGCGGCGGGCAATGAGGAGGGCTACCGCCTCGAGATCCTATCGCGCTTCCCCAAACTGACGATGCTCGACCAGAAGCCGGTCACGCCGACCGAGTCGGGCTTCGCCAACCTACCGCGGTCCAGCAAGTCCAAGAAGCTCGACGCCGACGCCGCCCAAGTGCCGTTGCGCAACTTCCCAATCCAGGTCAAGGCCGGGTTCGTCGACGGCGACGCAGGCGCCATCATGCCCGCCTTCCTGTCCAAGTGAGTGCCGGTTCGCACAGCATCCTGGCGTATCTTTCCTGATCCCTGCCTCTTCGCTGGCCTCATCCTGACGTGCCTTTTGCGCCCTGTACAGGTTCTTTGCCCTCTACGACAACGACCGCAATGCGCTCAAGGAGGCGTACGCGCCGTCGGCGCAGTTCTCGTACACCGTCAATGTCGCGCCGGCGCCGCGGGCAAAGGCGGCCGGCTACCTCCACACGATGCCGCACCAGAAGGGGCTCAGCTTCGACCGGTACAATACGCTCGGCGGCCGCAACTTGATGCGCATCCACGGCTCCAAATCGCGCACCACGTCGCTCCACCTCGGCAGCGCCCGGATCGTCGAGATGCTGGCCAAGCTGCCCAGGACGACGCACCCGCTCACCGACGCGTCCAAGTTTGTCTTTGACGCCTGGGTGGTGCCGAACAACGTCATCGGCGCCAGCATCCGGGCGGGCGAGCAGCCGGAGGCGGTGCTCTTTATCAGCGTCCACGGCGAGTTTGCGGAGCTGCCGTCGACGGGCGTCCGCTCGTTTGACCGGACGTTTGTGGTTGCGCCGGTGCCGCCGGGCTCCGAGGCGGCCAACGCCGGGTGGCCCTGTGTCGTCCTGTCGGACCAGATGACGGTCCGACACTACTCTGGCACCACCGCCTGGGCCCTCGATGCGCTGCCGACGGGAGAGGTTGGCGCGCCACCGGTCCAAGCTCAGGCCCAGCCCCAGGCGCCGACCCCCACCGCACCACTTGCCGCGCCTTCCACCAACGGGGCGTCGGCGGGCGCCGTTCCGGCCAACCTTCCGCCACACCTGCAGAACCAGGCGCCCGCCCCGGGCCTCAGCGAGCAGCAGCACGCCATGTCGCTGCAGCTGGCCGCCCAGACCGGCCTGATCTATCCGTTTGCGGTGCAGTGCCTGCAAGAGAACGGCTGGGAGCCGAACCAGGCCATGACCAACTTCCAGGCGCTCAAGGTGAGTCGGCTCAGCACGGCACCAAATGGCACAGCACGAGTTTGTCGACCGCGCTGCATCGGAGGATAGCTCGCTGACCTTTTTCCGTTTGTGATGACCGCCGCTGCTGCTGCTTCTGCTGCCACCTTCGCCTCGTCTTGCCAGGCGAGCAACGCCATCCCACCAGAGGCCTTCGCCCCGGCGTGATCAACCATGTCCATGCTCGCACTCCCCATCGACACTCTCAGCCTCAAGGCTGCACGCCGTCCACCGTCTCTTTACACCGTCTAGCCCCCATTCCTAGTCTCCATGTACTTTAACCCCAAACAACCGCACCGGCCAAAGACGCACCCCCGCGGCGCTGAAAAAGCCCAGCCACTGGAAATGGCCGAGCACGGCATGGCCCCCCCGGATCTTGCTGACGGCAGAGGCGGGAATGCGCAAGTGGCCGCTCTCGTGCTCTGGCTTCAACAAACAAGGTGTGAGGCAAAGCGTTGACGAAACTCACGCTTTGCCCGGGCGTGGCAGTCTTAGGATGCAGTGTGTGTGTTTGTGTGTGTGTGTGTGTGAAGGTAGGTGTGTGAGCTGTTGACGCAGCAGCCAGCAAGGTAGTGTGAGTCGGGGCGTCGATGCGTCATCCCGGCCCACTGTAGGCTGTCATCGTCAGGCGTGCCCCTTTTGAACCTCGGGAGTGTGGGGGGGTCGGACCGACGCTTTCGCCGTCCGAGGGGACACGCACGGGTGGACCCGTCGATCCCATCCGGTCCGACGACTTGCCGAGAACAGGAGAGAGAGAGAGAGAGGAAGGCGTGCGAGAGAATGACAAGAGTGCACCGCGTCCTCCCTCCCATACCCGATTATCGACCGACTGGAGGGCAACGATGGCCACTTTGGTTCCATCACCTGTGGTAGAGAGTGCATCGATACGCTCCGTCTCGGGTCAGTGGGGGGAGGGGCCGGGGCCGGGCGAGACCAGCCTTCTTTGACGCCCCGGTATCTTCGTCTTCGTCTGCGCCTCACCGGCGACGAATCGCGACGTCGAGGTGAGCCGACGTTGAGGGCACCAGACGGAACGCCCTTCTCGTCTCCTCCTTCCTCTCTGCCATCACCCTCCCTACCTCCTCAGACGACCCCGGTCTCTTCTACTCGAACACAGTCACTACCCTCGCTTCGTCCCCTCATCTCCAGCCGTTCCTTCACCACCACCCTCCTTCCCTAGACACGTCGCTCGTTCCACCACAGCAAAGGCAAGGATGCGGTTCCTCGCAATGCTACCTCTCCTCCTTGTCCTGCTCTGCAGCGAAAGCGCAAGTCAACCCGTCCACCGGGCCCGCACGCATCGACAGGCGAAACGCGTCCAGCCCACCCCGCCCAACTCGATCGAGGTGGCCGGTCTGATTGCCACCGTACTCGGTATACCCGGTACGTTGGACCCCCCCCCCCCCCCCCCCTACCCCCACCCTCACCCTCGTTTGCGCGTGAAGTCGTGTACGAACGTCATCCTCACCCCGTACTTCCCTTCTTCCTGTCCACACCGATGACGACGACGACGACCGACAGGGGCCATTTTCGGACCGTCGTTGATCTACAACTACATGAACGCACGCGGCCACAACGAGGCGCTCATCCAGGCCGCCTACTACCGACAACAGCGCCAGCTGCTCAACGACCACGAGAAGCTGCTGCGCGATAAGCAACTCGCCAAACTCGATCCGCCACCCGCCTCTGCTCCTTTGTTGCCTTCGTCGCCGTCGTCGTCGTCGTCGTCTTTGCCGTCCTCGTCTTCGCTGTCTTGGTCCTCGTCGTCTGGTTTGACATCGATGCCGACCGACACTCAGGCGACGTCCGTTTCGACGAGCGGCAGCTCGCCTGGTGTCGTTCCTGGTGCTGCGACGGGTGGTGCGGCGAGCACGTTCAACCAGGCTGCGGCTGGGACGGGGACGGGGACGGGGTCAGGGGCAGGGGCCGGCGTGGCTGGCGGCGCCGCGCAGGTGGGTGGCGTCGTCGCTGACGCGGGTGCGGGCGGCGCTGGCGCTGCTGCAAACGCGCCGTCCTCCGGTCAAGGCGCCGGGAATGCCGTCGCACCAGCAGCTGTCTCTACGTAGCATGACGAGTTGGCTCACCAGGCCCGACATCTAGACCCGCCTTGCAAGCAAAGCAGAGGAGAGACGCAGGCCCACACTCTTTCACCCATATTTCGACACCTGTATACATACTCCGTGGCCCCTTCCTCGGCGAGACGACGCAGGATCAGACCAACCCACTCTCCTTGACCACATCCTCGTCGTCGTCGACGTCGCCCCGCTGCTTGGCCCTGACGAGCTTCTTGGCCCTCCACTCCCTCACGCCCCTCTCGAACGTTGCCAGATCCAGACCTTGGTGGCCGACCTCGACGAAATGCACGCCCAGCTTGGTCCCAACCTCGGCTGGTGGCGGGGTGTGTTCGGCAGAACAACGATCCGGTCAGTTTGGATCCGCTGGGGCACGCATGGGATTCACAGCGTGCGAGAGGGGAGGAGAGCACTGCTCACCGTTGCGAGATTCGTCGTCAAAGAAGAGGTGATCTTCATAGTCGATGCCCGACTCCTTGTGCAGTTCGCGGAAGTGAGCGATCTTGGAGCCCGGGTAGATTTCGAGGTGGTCGAATAGCGCTGTCGATCGTCCGTCGAGAGGCACAGAATCAGGGGGCGTCAGCATCCTCGCTGGTTCCTCCTGGCACTTCAATGAGGGGCAAGGGGAGGTCTGGAACCCACAGATGGCCTTGATGAGCCTGCGCGGTGTCACAGAGGCCGACGCCTTCCTCGCCTTTCGGCCCGTCTCCTGCTCCGTCTCGTCCTCCGAGTCGGCCGGGGTGGGTACGAACTCGGCATCGTCGACGAGAAAGAGCCCGTTGAGCGCCTGCCGTGCCGCCGGCGGGGCGCACGTGCGGGATGCAGCCGCGATCTCGACGCCGTGTCGTTTGAGGTACAGCAGGATGTGACTGTACATCAGAGGGGCCGTACGACGGGTCGGGATTCAAGGTGGTGCTCAGTCGATTGTACGTCTTGCGGGCCTCGTCGGCGAGATGGAGCGGGCATGTACGTACGGAACGTGCGGAAAGAACGAGAGCGGCTGCCCGTGTCGATCGACGACTCTATTGATGGCGTTTCCCTTGCGCTTGAGCGGCGGGTCGACGTGGGTATCCACCCAGAGCTGCCTCAATCACCATCCCAACCGCACCACGCCGGTCCAATCGGCTCGTCAGCACCACTGAGACGGGTCCGCTTGTGCGAACGGGCGCACCGTCGTCGACTCACGGGCCATAGCGTGTAGTCGAGATCGAAGACGACGAGCTTGGGCAGCGGCGAACCGATGCGTTCCAGCGACTCGACCACGCCAGGCACCCAGCCGTCGAAGCCGTAGTTTGACGCCACCTCGTCGTCGTTGGCGGCTGCTGCGCCTGCCGAAGAGGCGTTGGACGAGTTCTTTTGGTGCCGTCTTTTGACCATGCCGATGTGCTGTCTATCTCGAGATCGCAAGCGGGTTGCAAGTCTATCGTGGATGTCTGTGTGCGGAAGCGGGTCGTGGTGGTCGAGGGACGAGGGACGAGGGCCAAGTGCTTGATTCCGCCTCGGCATTGGCTTCGAAGACGAGCGCCGCTCAGCTGCTGCACATCCATGTGCGTCTGACGTCTTCGGACCCTTTCGCCGCGTGGCTGCGGATCTTCTCTGTCGCCCGACCATCCTCGACCCGACGCGTTTCCACCATCGTCGCGGCGCTCTCGACGTCGGACGCTCTTGCGCAACGATGTGAGATCCAGTCGGAAGGCGCTCCGGATCGCAACGAGCTAGTCTGCTCGCCCGGCCTGGTCGGCGTCGATGCGGGCGCAACGGGACCGCTTCCCGGTCAATAGGCTGTTGTGCACGACGACGTGGTCATTCTCACCCCACCCCTCCAGCCTTCTCTCGGCATCGTCAAAGCAACCATGGTCACGCTTCATCGACCCGACCCACATCTGTTCTTGGAGAACTGCTCGGAACCACCCACCACGAAGCGCTGCAATCAGCGGGGTAGGATGGCCGCGCTGGTAGGCTGTGCGCCGCTGACCGCATCGACCGTAAAGGGGATATAAGGGGCTCGTTCGTCGTCGTATCCCCCCCCCCCCCCCCCCTTCCTTGTGTCTACAACCCAATCCATCCTACCAAGACCCTGCCGTACGTCCGACCCGACCAAGCTAGCTACCCACCGTCATCAATTTCGAGGTGAGTAAACGAGAAGATCCACTGCGCCACCAATCCTCCATCCTCGTTGCAGGCTCTCGAAGCGAAGACCCCCAATCTCACCCTAGACCTCAGCCCTACCTTGCACCCCCACCCATCCCTCTGTCGACGCCCGAATCGAGCAACAGGAGAATGTACATCTCCCTCAAGTCCAGCCTCGTTCTCCTGGCCACCGCCGTCCTGGTGACGCTCCCCAACCAGGCCAGGGCAGGCGATCCGACCCTCTACCGCTACATTTCACGCAAGCAGAACATCTTTGGAGATTGCGTCGTCTTCCACCCGTTCAACGTGCCCAACCCGCTCTTCAACTGTCGCCCCGAGTCCTCCCTTCAGGGCGTCACCATCCACTCCGGAGAGCTGGCCTGCGACGACACCACGACCACGTTTCAGGATTTCTGCAAAGGCTGCAAGGCCGCCGGCAGCGTTTGCACCCAGCAGGTCACCTAGGCTCGTATCAGCACGGGGGCCTTCGGCATGCCCTTGTGTAAGGGTGGTGCAAGCATCGTGCGGCCCACGTCGGCCCTCGAGCCAGCTTTTCCAAACGGTTTGCAACTGATTGGAGCGGCCTTCAGCTCCGATACAGCCGTGATGTGATGTAGCAGCAACGGTGACCGCCGCATATCTCTGCAATTGACTTTTCTTTTTCGCAGCCTTTTCAAGCCTCTTCGTCGTCGTCGTCTTCGTCGCTTTCTTCCTATTCTTCCTCGTCATCGTCATCGTCATCGTCATCGCCATCGCCATCGTCCTTGTCCTCCTCGCGTGCCTCTCCGTCAGCGGCCTCGACGGCGCGCTCCGCCTTGCGCACCCGGGTACGGCACCGCAGGCACTCCCACCCGCCGGCGTCCTCCAGCTCGTCCTCCATGTCCTCGTCGAGCAGCTTGCTCGTAATGCAGTAGTAGCAGTACGTGTGCCCGCACGGCTCGACCCGGTACGCCGTGTGGATCAGCGCATCGGCGTACGCCAGCCCGTCGGGCGACACGCCCAGGCTGCTCGAAGAGGCCAGCGACCGCGCCGGCGTGCTGCTCCCCGCTCCGCTAGCCGCAGGACGGTTGGGCGCCAGCAGCCCCGAAGAGGGGTCCAGCGGATCGCTCGTCGGGATGCCCATGCTGAGCCCGCCGGAGCCGATCTGCTTCGGATCCAGCGTGACGCCTGCTGCCTTTTCCATGCGCTCGAAGCAGATGGCGCAGCACGGCTCTGGCAGCGCCCAGTACCGCCCGCGACTCGGCCCGTCCTCGTCGGCCTGCTTGCCCTTTTCCTTCGCGCCGGCCAGCCCGCCTCGCAGCCCTGGCAGCGAAATCGCCTTTTTGTCGAATCGTGCTCGCCCCGCGGCGTCCCGCGACAGGCCCACGCGCGACGAGATGGCCATAGGCAGGATGCCGAGCAGCAGCGAAAGCAGCCGCGGGTGGGTCGGCAGCCGCATCAGGCGTCTGAACAGCCGTCTTGGCCGCACGAGGGGCAGCAGGAAGAGCAGAAACTCCTGCAGCGTCGGGTCGGGCGGGAGGAGACAAGGACAAGCAGGCTAGCGTCAGCTTCCGTTGTCCTGGAAGCATTTCGATGGCCCCTGAAGAACGCCATCGACTCACAGTGAAGGCGTGCCACACGAGCTGGCGATTGAGAAACTCGAACGAGACGTTGCGGTTCATGGTGCGCTGAGCATAGGTGAGGCGCATGCCGAGGAGGCGGTCGGCGACGGAGCGGTACTTGCCGTTGTTGAGGAAGACGGCAAAGTTTGCGAGGACGGCGGCGGCCCAGATGCGCTGTGCGTAGTCGGTGAGAGACCAGAGCCTCCTGCGAATGTCGTTGGAGGGCATGTCGGAGAAGCTGAGGGACGTCATGCGGTCCTGGAGCTTGGTGCCAAGGTAGGGAAAGAGGATGGTGAGGAGCGGGTAGAGGGAGAGCTGAAGCCTGCTGAGGGGCTGATCACGCGCCGTCGACTGCAGGCCGCCCTTGTGCGCCCACTCGTTGCGGAACTTGAGGTTCTGGAGCATGGATCCGTAACTGGCGCCACGGTCCCAGATGCTGAACTTGAAGAGGATGAGCTTGAGGAAGAGGAGGAGCTCCGGCTCGAGGTCTGCGGGCAGGGTCGAGCGTATGAGGCCGAGCGCCTTTTTGAGGGGGTCGAGGAGCAGCTCGGAGAGTTCGCGGTCGAGGAGCTCTGCATCGAGCTGATTGACGCGCTGGATGCGGAGGATGGGGGTGGGGAAGCGGTGGAGCGACTTGCGTATGTTTTCAATCGAGGTCGAGGCGGCATGGGCTGCATCGTGGTAGAAAGGCTGGCGCTGCGTGGGTGGAGATGGTGATGGCGCTGCCCCGTCTGCGTCGAGGCTGCCAGTTTGTGAGGTGCTCGGTGGTTGTGCGAGGTCGGTGGTGGATGAAGGTGGTGCGGGCCGCGCTGTGTCGATGCTTGGGTCGGCTGGCAGGGTGGATGGCCCCGCGGCGGGTGATGAGCCTCTGTCGTCGGTCATGCTGATGGTGTGGCAGGTGACTCGAGAAGCCGACCGAGACGGATTGATGGTGGATGGCGGTGTACCTCTGCTCGATGAAGTCGAGGCCTGCGAAGGAAGGGTGGGTGGCCAGGGCAGGCCAGGCCAGGCTAGCCCGGGGGCGGGTCAACCGGGCCCTGCCACCGGCAACGGCTAACTCCACCTCGCCTGTGGCCTGCCCCGCATGCCTAGCCTCGCCTCGCCTTTCAACCGGCTGTCCAGCAAAGGCAGGCTGAGGGCTGACGACGGATCCGAAGCCGCCAGGCCTAGTCACTCGTCCGAGAAAAAGAAAAACCAAAGCGGCAAAGCCAGGCAAGCTAGGCCAACCAGGCCAGCCAGGGGGGCACCCGCGCGCCAAGCCTCGGTTTGCTGCTGGGTGCTCGCCCCATGCCTGCATCTGGCCTGCCTGCCTGCCTGCCCGACATGCCAAGCCCGACGGCTCTCCGCGCCGCCCCGCCGCTGCTCGTCGAAACCTCAGCTGAGCCCTCGCCGGCGGAACGCGTCCCTCTGAGACCAACACCAGCGGTGGCGGCGTTCCCCTCGCAGTCCTCATCGGCGGATGTCGGTGCCCCGCCGAGGTCGCAGGCACACGCAACCACGAAAGGCAGAGAGGGGGCATCATATACGGCCTGCCATGACGACGACGACGACAAGCAAAGCAGCGGCCTCAACCCACGGCGACCTCAAAGGAGTGGCAGCCTGGTGCTTCGATTGGGGGGAAAACGCCGAGCGGCGGCGACGCCCCCTGCATACAGAAAGGCAGGCAGGCAGGCAGGCAGGCAGGGAAGGGGTTTCCATCAAGAGCCTGCCTGCCCGCCGTCGAGCTCGGCCCGGGCGCGTGCCTCTCCCTCTGCGGCGCCAAAGAAGCCAGCAGGCGGCCTGCCAGTCGAGCAAACCAGGAGGCAGACAGGCCACCGAGCCGCAGCGTCCGGACGCCGCCAAACGGGCGGGCACCAAGCCTCCGACTATACATAGATCGGACTCCCGCTGCCTCCTCCTCGTCCTCGTCCTCCTCATCTCCACCACCACCACCACCACCACCACCACCACCGCCAACTGCCTCTCCCCGCCTCTCCCCTCTGAACAACAACAGCCCTACACTCATTTCTCATCCACTCTTTCCCTTCACTAGCCTGCCCAACATGACCTTTGCCCGTGCCTCGCTCGCCCTCCTCGCCCTCGCCGGCCTGGCCCGCGCCCAGAGCGACGACGCCAGCTACGAGCAGGTGGCCACCATCCAGGAAAACTTCCCCGCCGCCCTCATCACCCCCACCTACTTCCCCGACAGCTGGTTCGACATCCAGGGAGTCCTCAACGTCTCGTTCGGCGGCGTCAGCGTCGGCAACATCGGCGACCGCCTCAACCTCGACCAGGTCCAGACCAGCCCCACCTACCGCATCTCGACCGAGACCAAGCACGCCGACGACGCAGACACCTTTGACGGCGAGCGCCGCTTCACCGTCGCCTTCCTCGACACGTTTGTCGCCGGAAAGGACTTTGGCGGCAAGGTCAACATCCACGGCCTCGGCAACGACTACGCCGTCGGCGACAACGGCAGCCTCACCAACCGCTCCATCAACGCCGTCCCCTACGCCGCACCCAACCCGCCCGCCAACGACGGCCCGCACCGCTACGTCCAGCTCGTCATCCAGCAGTTCCCCAACTTTACCGCCCCCGAGCTCGGCTTCACCGGAGCCGTCGGCGTCAACCAGTCGTTTGTCGACTACTACAACAACGCAAAGGGCGGCCTCGGCAAGGTCGTCGCCGCAAACTACATCCAGATCGAGGTCGGCCAGGCCGCAGCCCCCGCCACCACCGCCGCCCCGGCCCCGAGCGCCGTCTCGTCGCTGGCCGCCCAGAAGAGCGCTGCTGTGAGTCTCCCGCCCTCGAACGAGGTCGCCAGCCCCGCTCGACTGCGGCAGTCTGTCCGAGCTGCGCCACTGACCATTCCTCGTTCCTCTCCCTTGCCGCTTCTGCCTCGCCGCGACGCTCTTGGCTCTCTCGCTAGGCCTCGACGAGCGGCACCAGCAGCGGCTCGAGCGCCAAGCCGTCCAGCACTGGCGCCGGCTCTGGCTCTGGCTCCGGCACCAGCGGCGCCATGTCGGTCGGCGCTGCTCCTCTGGCCGCCATGGCCGGCATGGGAGCTGCTGCCATCCTCGGTGCCCTCCTCCTCTGAGCGGTCCTCGCGCTGTCACCGCATCGAGGCAGCCGTCGCCGTTCGTCCTCCGGCGCAGCTGCGATCGATACGCATCCTTTTGTTGGACAATGGCCTGTGTTGCCTTTCCCTTATCTCGCCGTCAGCCTCGACTCTGACCCCGTCCTAGTGTAGCTCTGCACTCAATCTCGATCTTCGCCTGTTCATACGCACGCCCGCACGCACCCATCCCCCCCGAGTCCGTCAGCCCGCCCCAGCCTCGAATTGTACCCCTAGTCATGCGCCCCCACTCGGCCTCTCGCTGCGCCGCGCGCCCACAAGCAAGCACAAAAACATCCACCAGATTGCAGCGGCCGACTGAGTTGCTCGAGGAGTCGTCGGTGGGGCGAGATGTAGGAACCGGGGCGGGCGATGGCGAGGGAGGTAGAGGTGGCAGGCCGAGGAGAGGGCGAGGAGGCCACACCCACGGCCTTCGCGGTGCGCCCAGCGGCAGCGGCGAGTTTGCCAGCAAAAGCGAGGCTCGAGGGCGTTGCGGGACCCGCTCAGCTGGCCAGTCTGGCACCGCCGCCTGCCTGGCGGGGCTTCAAAATGCTGGATAGGTATCGGACCGAGTCAACTTTCGAAACCTGAAAAGCTAGCGCACCGCGTCAGAAATCCACGGCCGGCCGAATTGCAAACGCTCTCTAGCTCGTGAGAATCTGGAAACTCGAAAAGCCACCGAAACTTGCAAGAATCTAGACCCTTTGCCATCCGATGGCCATCGAGGAGGGCGCAGGGAAGGATCCGGGGACCCGGAGACGGATTTTCTCGAAGATTGCGACTTGGGAAAAGCTTGACAGGGAAGCGTGCGTTCTCCCGAACGAAAAGATGGCTTGACGTCGATTTCGAAAAGAGTGAGGAGATTTTGAAAAAGTTGCAAAGACAACAAACCCCCTAACTTGGTCGAGCGCTCCAGCGAGCAGACCAGCCAGCCAGCGAGCCAGGCAGCACGAGCCACCCAACCCCCACGGCCAGCGGAGGTGTCTGGCTGGGCTGGGCTGGGCGGTTCTTTTCTTCCTGTGCCCCCAGATGAGGGGCGCGGGGCATGGGACGGGCCAGAACGCAAGAAGAACCAGGACGGGGACGAGGCCGGGCTCGCTCTTGGCTTTGCTTGCTTGGCCATCTTCCATCATCGCTCCCGCTTCCTGTCCACCACCTCATCTCGCACCCGCTTCCCATCCCGAATCCTCGCAACTTCAAGCAGCCGCGTCGCAACGCAACGCAACGCAACGCACCTGCAGGGACAAACGAAGGGATGAGGCTGACACGACTCGTCCCGCTGCTGTGCCTCCTGGTGCTCGCATGCACCGTCCTCGGCGTGCGCGCATCCAATTGGGACAAGGACGACTACGAGGTGAGTTCGACCCCTCTCCCCCGCCGCGTCTTCCTTCTCGGAGGGGACCAAATGGGTCCATGAGAACTGACATAGGGGAACGGGGTCCGGCTGGCAGATCTTTGAACTCCAAAACGCCCTCGAAGACTCCGAGGGAAAGGGAACCACATTCTACTCGCTCCTCGACATTGCAAAGACGGCCACCCAGTCCGAGATCAAGCGCGCCTACAGGAAAAAGAGCCTCGAGCTGCAGTGAGTTTCCTCGCCTTGGTCGCCGATCCGAGGAGGTATCCGCCTTCGCTCGTCGTTAGCATCGCACTCATTCCCCTGGCAACACGGCGTGCCTCTACCGCCCACCCTTCTGTGCTCCCCCCTCCCACGACAACGTCAGCCCGGACAAGAACCTGGGACGACCCGATGCGCAGAAGCGCTTTGAGCGTCTGGGCCTGATCAACAAGATCCTGCGCGACTCGCGCAAGGACCGCTACGACCACTTCCTCACCAACGGCTTCCCCAAGTGGCGCGGCACGGGCTACTTCTACCAGCGCTTCCGGCCGGGACTCGTCTCGGTGCTGCTCGGCCTCGTCGTGTTTTCGTGCGGCATCGAGGTGCTGATACGCCACCTCAACGTCCAGCGCGAGCGAGAGAGGACCGAGAGGCTGCGCCGCAGCGCCATGCTCGTCGCCTGGGGACCCCGGTACGAGGAAATGGTATGGAGGAACGCCAGAGAGGCCGCCGGTGCACCAAAGTCCGGCGGCCTGGTGGAGAAAAAGGTGCGCGTACCCGTCTCGGGCTTCGTTGACCTGCCCGCTCCCCTCGGCGGTGCAGAGGACCTCGAAAAGGTGGACTGGCAGGAGAGGGAGAAGAAGTGGAAGCGGTGCGTCCTCTCGGCCTCTGCGCCGTCCTCGTCGTCGATGCACGGAGGGCGCACGGTCGAGGTGCTGGTCAACCGAGACGAGGTCCTCGTCCACCTCGACGGCGAGTGGTGGCCCCTCGACTCGGACGCCATCCCCTCTACGTCGTTCACGAGCACCTGGCCCTTCCGGATCTTCAGCAACCTCACGGCCAGCAAGTCCTCGACGCGCCACCACGGCGATGGAGATGAAGGCGAGAAGGGGGAGGAGGAGGAGGAAGAGGAGAGGAGGCATGCCGAGCAAGTCGAGAGGAAGGCCAGGCAGGTCATTGCTGCCTCTTCGTCGTCGGAGGACGGCGCGGCGAGGAAGAGAAAGGCAAAGAGGAAGTAGGCCGTCGCTGTCGTCCCTGCCGCTCGACTCAGGCAGGTGGCACACGTGCGTTGCGGCTGGCTCAGGCGATGGTGTGCCAGCCCAGGCGACGTGATAAAGAAACAACTCCAGCGTATCCGCATTGCTCCTCGTTCCGATCGCACCCGCTGGCTCATCTCCGTCATCCGAGGAGAATCTGCTCGTCGTCCTGGTCCTGATCCGCCGCCGCCTCGTCACCCTCGTCCTCCGACCCAGACTCGCCCATGTCAATCTCCGGCATCTCCTCGTCGTCGTCATCATCAGCATCACCGCCATCGCCCGCAGCGACATGATGCACGGCCGAGACCGGCGGTGCTGCGGCCGTCGTCATCTCGGTGATCTCGACCGCCGACGTGGACAGCGCATCCGTCAAGGCCTCCTCCTCGGTAAGGATGGTCGTGGTGGTGGTCGTGGTGACCGCGGCCGGAGCAGTGGTGGGTGCCTCGTCGCCTTCCGTGGCAGCAGTAGGGCCTGTGGACCCAGCCTCGGCCTCCTTGTCCCTGCTCGCCTGGTTCTGAGCGCTGCCAAAGCTCACACTCCTGTCGAGCGCCGATGGGCTGCCGATGCGCGGCGTCGAGGGACGGTGGGCCGGCTTGACGGGATCCGGGCTAAACACCCTCGTGTCGCGCAGCGACGACGAGCGGGGCGGAGAGTGGGGCAGCGGCGAGCTGCGGCTCAGCGGCGAGGGCAGACCCTTGCCCAGCCCGGCCGCGGTGGCCGCAGTGGCGGCGATGCCCGGCGCCGCCGACGAGGCCGATGCAAGCGAATCCGACTCGGCCGTGATGGCATCGATGTCCATCCGGCCTTCGTCGCCGGCGCTGGCGCTGTGGGTTGGCTTGCTCGGGGCGCTGGCGTCGAGCTTGAGGACGTTGCGGATTGACTCGGCCTCGCGCGCCACGGGCTGCAGGTGCAGCGTGCGGTCGATGCCGGTCGTCAACTGGCTCCCCTCTGGCGTCGGGTCAAACTCGTTGTTGGTCTCGCTCGGGTCCGGGTAGAAGCCGAGACCGCGTGCGATGGGCACCATGTTGCCCTTCCTCGCAAGCGTGAGCGAGGACATCGCCTCGGTCGCGGCGGCCCGCACGGCGGCGTTGCCGTGGACGGCGGCGAGCTCGACGAGCGCCGGCGTGATGCGAGGCAGCGACAACGCCAGCATCGGAGAAGGCGAGCCGCGCAAAAGGCTCGAGAGGGCCTCGAGCGAAGCGCAGAAGAGATCATCGATGCTGGGAGGCCCGCCCGGGACAGAGGCCGAGGTTGAGACGACAGCAGAGCCGCTCTGCGAGCCAGAGAGCACCTCGACCAGTGCCAGGACAACCTGCGCCGAAGTGTGGGCCAGGTCATGGTGCTGCGCGTTGAGCTCCGTGGTGAGGTGCGGGAAGACGGCCTCGAGGACATGGAGCGCGACCTGCGTCGCGGCGATCTCTTCGGGCTGCAGACGCTGGATGGCGTCGCGCGGGTTGGCGGCGGTGCCAAACACCGAGTCGCTCTCGTAGAGCCGCGCCTTCTTTGCCTTCCTCGAGCTGCCGGAGCCGTGGCCGTTGGAGTTGCTGTTGGAGGCAGGCTCATTGACGCCGGCCTGAGCGTCCGAGGCGCCCGGAGGAGCGAGGACCACGCGCGCCACCTGGCTAGAGCACAGCCGGGCCGCACGCAGCGTCGCCCGTCCGTTGGGATCCAGCGCCAGCCTTGCGCTCCCCCGCTTTGCGCCGCCGACGATGCTGGACAGGGTGCGGAGAGCGGCCATGCGGAGTCGCGGGGAGTAGCCCGTCGCGTTCCCGCCCTGGGCCGCTTCGCCGACTCGGCAGACCTCGGAGATGACTTCGGCGGCCTGCAGAGCGGCTGCCTCGGGCGAAAGCAGCACGAGCTGTGCAATGAGGCTGAGCGCAGCGATGTAGTGCTGGGGCAGGTGAGCTGCCTGGAGCGCACAGAGAGAAGCCTCGGACGTGGGCTTCTGCGGCGTGTGTGAGCCGACGCGGAGGATCTGCAGCGCAAAGTCGAGCAGCTGTCCGAAGGGGACGGGCACGGGCCGAGGCGTAGGCGTCCTCAACAAGAGGGGCAGCACACCGACTCGCCCACGGCAGCCGAGGAGCATGTCCATGCGACCCAGCGCGATCCGAGTGGCTGCCAGGGGATCCTTGGGAAGTGCCGGCATGGCCGTATCGTTTGCCGCAGCGCCAGCCGGCTCATCGCCTTTCGTCGACCTATCTTCGTTGCGCGCGCCGGTTTCGTAGCTGGAAACGCAGGCGAGCCAGGCGTCCTTGGCCAAGTTGAGCTCGCTGGCAATGGTCGACTGCCAGAGCTGCGCCTGGGTCGCCCTGCCGTTGCCTGCGCCGCCGTCGTTGGATTTGGCTGCGAGCGCGCCAGTCAGATGCAGAGACGAGAGAAGGCGGACCGCAGCCGAGAGGAGCGGCTGGGGCAGTCGAGGCGCGGCCGCCTTTGGGTTGGCAGCCTGCAGCCGCTCGGGAGCGTAGAGGACCTTGCGCGAGAGGAGGTGGATGCGCGAAGAGAGGGCTCGGCACGAGGCCGGGTGGGCCCGCAGGTGGTGGTCGATGGAGCTGATGAGGACGTAGAGCGCCCGGGCATAGGCAAAGATGTCGAGCTTGTCGACGACGTTGCTGGCGGCGTCGACGAGGGTGGTGACAAACTTGATGAGGTTGGGGGTGACCACCTGGCGGTGGAACTCCTGGCGCGAGGGCGATGGTTCCTGGAGGATGTGGACGGTGACGAGGGAGAGGGCGGCCTCGAGCAGGTCGGCGTTGGGGCGGTTGAGGGTGGCGGGCGAGGTGAGGAGGTTGATGGCGTGGTTGAGCCAGGATGCGGCGTGGTTGACCAGGTGGGCGTTCCAGATTGAGGGCGACTGGGTGAGCCAGAGGGAAGCGATGCGGTAGCCGGCCACCTTTTGGGTCGAGATGAGCGAGTTGATGCGGACGGTGAGCTTGTGCTGGCTCTGATCGCTGGGCAGGCGGTGCAGGAGATGCGAGTTGGCCAGCGCCTGCAGCAGCCGTTGCAGCTGCTCGGCGTCGGCCGTGTCAAAGGCGCCCAGGAGCGACTCGAGCTGGCTCGACGGCTCCGCCGAAGCCGGCAGCTGCGGGGCGGAAAGGCCGCCAAAGAATTGGTCCATCCTGGCTAGCTCCGGAGTTGCGAGCCCGGGCAGAGGGGGGGAAGATGACGGGAAGACAGGCGTCGGATGTGCCGACAGAGGGGAGAGATGGTGGTGACGGTCAAGGGCTGAAGCCACCTCCAAGCAACCAAGCTCCACCCGCCGTCGACTTTTTTTCCTCAACCTGGCGGCCGGTGGCAGGCAGGCAGGCAGGCCCTCGAAGAACGCAAAAAGTCGACAGCGACCGCCTAGCCTGGGCTGGCCTGGCCTGGCCCTCCGATTTCCGAAATTTGGCGCGGGGAAGCAGCCGGGAGCCCTTGCCCCCCTGCCCGCACAGACCGCACGCCTGGATGCAGCCAGCTCGGGCGGCCCCTCCCGCCCCTGGCCTTGCCTTGCCTCGCCTCTCCTCTCGCTTGCCTGGCTGCTGTTAAGTCTCTCCTCGTCTCCCACTTACTCTACCTCCTCCATCTCGCCCGCTCCGGAAGGCATCCTCGCCGGTCTCGTCTCGTTCTTCCGCTGCACGACTCGAGTGCGCCCTGGCCATCTCGCGCATTCTTAGGGACAAGCCATCGACCGCGGGCCAGCTCTGCAACACGCCCGAGGGCGGCGCTGCCTCGCCAGGGATGGCCACCAACGGCGCCGGAGGCGCGCAGTCGTCGCCCCAAGCTCGACCTGCGAGAGCGCCAAGAGCGCCCGCACCGCAGCTGCAAACTGGGCTGGCACCATCTCGCAGCATCTCATCGCCATCACAGTCGCACTCGCCCTCGGCCTCGACCTCTTCGGCCAGGCCGTTTCACGACCCTGTGGTCCAGGAGCTCTGCACGCTCGACACCTTCCAGAGCTCTTTCAACACCAACGAGTTCATCGCGCAGCTCACCACCAAGCTCGTACAGAGATCCAAGGCCGACCCCGGCCCCTTCAACCCAAGACCCTTCATACGCACCTTTGAGTCGGCCCTCGAGCAGCTCACCCAGATCCGCGGCCAGGTGACCGCCCAGACCCAGGTGCTCTCGTCATCGGTCCATGTGGCCGAGTCGGCCTATACAAAGAAGCTCGACGAGCTGTCCAAGAACTTCACCGCCGTCGGCAACTCGTTCAGCTCGCTCGAGGACCGCATCTCCGAGGTCGGCAGGACGGCCATCCGCATCGGCGAGCAGCTCGAGACCATCGACCGGCAGCGCAACCGCGCCAGCGAGGCCCACGACCTCATCGAGTTCTACTACATGTTCGCACGCGGCGATCCGTCCAAGCTCGAGCGCGTGCGCAAGGAGGGCGGAAAGGAGGGGCGGATGAAGGCGGCCGTCATCGCCAGGAGGCTGGCCGCCATCAGCCGCGAGGTCGACGTCCGCGGAAGCGAGCAGACCCGCGAGGCAATCGACCGCTACTGCGAGCGCTTCGAGCGGGACATGCTCAAGCTATTTGACAAGTTCTACCGCAAGTCCGACCCGCGCATGATGAGCCACATTGCAAAGGTGCTGCAGGGGTTCAACGGCGGCGCCAGCTGCGTCCAGATCTACGTCAACCAGCACGACTTCTTCATCAGCAAGGACCGCGTCGGCGAGGCCAGCACGATCGAGGTCAGCAGCATCTGGAAGCACCTTGCCGACCCCGACCATCCGCCGCCAAAGACCGAGCCGGCCCTGTCGTCGCTCTTTGCCGAGATCCGCCAAACCGTTGAGGTCGAGGCGCAGATCATCTCAGCCGTGTTTCCCAACCCGCTGGTGGTGATGCAGACCTTCCTGCAGCGCGTCTTTGCGCAGTCGGTGCAGGCGTTTGTTGAGGTCATCATGGAGAAAGCGGGGCAGATAGGCTCGCCGAGCTTTGTCACTGCGCCCGGCGTCGTCAACGGTTTGACGGGCGTCATGGAGCTGCAGGCAGGCGCTGCGCAGCCTCCCGCATCCCACCTCGCCTTCCTCCGAGCGCTGCACCTTTCTCGGTCCAGCGCGCTGACCCTCGTCAACGACCTCAAGCTTTATGACTTCCGCGGTGCCGGCATCGTCGGGCCGAACCCCTCGTCGACAGCGGCGGCGGGCGGCGTGTCGGAATCGGGCGCGCTGACATTGCTCGGCGGCGATGGCGGCGCGACTGGGCAGATGACGCACGCGGCGGCGAGCCCCTTGGCCACCATGCTCGACCAGGCCGTCGAGGAGCTCTTCGTTCCGTACATGGAGGGGATACGGTACCTTGAACGCGAGACGCGCAGCCTGACGGACCTCTACGCTGGCTACCTGTCCAGATTTACGGCATACCATGTGAGCGTCACGAAACGGCCCCGCCTCCCTCCTGCCGCGGTCCGTACTGATGTTGCTTGCCCTTCTACATCACCAGAAAACGCCCAACAAGGCGAAACCGGCGGCTTCGAACACGATCTTCAACCGCATGAGGAACCAAATCTCGTCATCGTCGGATGCCAAGGACAACAACGCGGCGGCGACATCGTCGTCGTCAACGAGCACCACCAGCGGCACCATGTCCGGGGCCAAATCCTCGTTCTTCAAGCTCTCCGGACTGGCCGACCGTGTCCGCGGGGGAGGCTCCTCG